ACACTTGCCGGTATGTTCGTCATACGTCTCCAAAACGCGGCCGATCGAATCATCGCAAGCTGTGTTCGTCGTGCCAGCACGGAATAGGTATCGAAAAGACATCATCTTCGGTCGAATCGATCATCCCATACGCACGCTGTGGGACGAATCTGAGGACGAAGACCCAGCACCCAAGTTTTCGCAATACAGTCGGGTGGCGAAACGCATGATGAGCGACATGGGGTATGACCTCGCTCGCTTGGAGGGCCTGAATTATGGCCGAGGACGTAAGACGGTCATCAAACCTGCCTACGTCCCCAAAGGAAAGCCGTCAAGTTACTTCAACAGGACACGGAGAGGCTTAGGCTACTCCTCCTCCTCGTCGGAGCTATGCTTTTACGTCGACGAGGACTCCGATTATGCGTGTTCGGGGGACCAATCGTCGACGACCTCGGCTTGGGACTCGGACGTCAGCGTGAGGGATCTATTTGATGGCCTTACAGTCAACATGGCCACAGTAGACCCTGTCGAGATGGCGGAGGACGAACAACTTACACTCTACGATGAGACATGGGATCGCCATGTTAATGCCCAGTGGAACAGTCGCTTCGAACAGCGCGAACCACCAACCGAAGATGAAGTCCTCCAGGTGAACATGGGTACTGAGGCGAATCCCAAACCCATATTCATCAGCGGCAGTCTGCCCCCGTAGGAAAAAGAGGACCTCATTGCCCTCATACGGGAATACATCGATGTCTTCGCCTGGAACTACGAGGACATGCCTGGCTTGGATCCGCGGGTCGCCACGCATCATCTCAACATCAGCCCTGACGCCAAACCAATCAAACAACAGCAGAGGCGGTTTCGCCCCCAAATCATGGAGGCGATCGAATCTGAAGTAAAGAAGCTGATCGAATCCGGCTTCATCAGAGAGGAGCAACACCCCGACTGGGTGGCGAATATTGTTCCAGTCTTGAAGAAGAACGGCAAGATCCGCATCTGCATCGACTTTAGGAACCTCAACGCCGCGTGCCCTAAAGACGAATTCCCTCTGCCCATCACGGATGTCATCATTGACAATACGTGCGGATTCGAGAGGATGTCCTTCATGGACGGCTTCTCGGGGTACAACCAAATCAAAATGCACCCCGAGGATGAGAAGCACACTGCATTCAGAACTCACATGGGGGTGTACTGCTACACCGTCATGCCGTTCGGACTCAAGAACACTGGCGCAACCTACCAGCGTGCCATGAGCACGATCTTTCGAGATCATCTGCGAAAGACGGTCGAATGCTATGTAGACGACTTGGTCGTGAAGAGTCGCCGCAAAGAGGATCACCTCCAAGACTTGAAGGCTATGTTCGAACTCATGAGGACTCATCAGCTCAAGATGAACCCTACCAAGTCATTCTTGGGAATGTCTAGCGGTAAATTCCTCGGTTTCGTCGGGGGGAGCCATTCAAGAGCTCCAGCCACCCCGAAATCTTAAAGAACTAAGGGGACTTCAGGGACGACTGGCTTATATCCGAAGATTCATCTCGAATCTCTCGGGCAAGTGCCAACCCTTCTCTAAGCTCATGAAGAAAGGTACCTCCTTCGTTTGGGATGAGCCGTGCCAAAAGGCCTTTGAAGAGATCAAAGCTTATCTCTCAAATCCGCCTGTCCTTGCGGCGCCAGTCTCAGGGAGGCCATTCCTCATATACATACGGGCTATGGAACACTCTCTAGGTGCCCTCTTGGCTCAAAACGACGATGCAGGCCACGAACAAGGCATCTACTACCTGAGCAGAACCTTGCAGGGCACCGAACAACGGTACCCAATGGTCGAGAAGGAATGTTTAGCCTTGGTGTTCGCTATTCAAAAGATGCGACACTACTTGGTGGGCCAAACCATTCATGTCATCTCCCGGATGAATCCCATCCGGGTCTTCATGACACAACCTGCAGCGTTAAACTGGCGCCTGGCCAGGTGGGCGCTTCTGCTCTCCCAATACGACATCCACTTCATGCCGTAGAAATCAGTCAAGGGACAAGCCATCTGCGATCTCATGGCTAGTCACCCACTGGGGGTGAATACCGAACTATTTGAAGATCTGCCAGATGAACCTCCCGAAGCCAATGTGACTGTCTCACCAGAGGTATGGCAGATGTACTTTGATGGTGCGTCTCGCGCAGGTGCGAGCGGTTCTATCTCTGTAGGAGTGGGGGTGGTCCTCACCTCTCCACATGGCCATGTGTTACCCCGGGCCTTTTCCTTAACGGAACCATGCACCAACAACGTAGCCGAATACAACGCGCTGCTCATAGGGCTCGAGTTGGCCAAAGAATTAGGGATAAAGCATCTAGAGGCTTATGGCGATTCGCAACTCATCGTTAAACAAATGACTGGCGAATATGAAGTCAGGAATGAAGATCTCGTCCCACTCCACAAGGCGGCCGTCAGACTAGTGGAGTTATTCGAGAGTTTCCGCATTGAGCACGTGCTCTGTTCAAAGAACACCCACGCGGATGCCCTCGCATCCTTAGCAACCAATTTGGCCCAGCCTTTGGGAACGACCCAAAGGGTCACAGTCGCCAGCCGAAAACTTTTTCGACCCAGAGACGTCCCGGAGGCGAACGCCACTCATCAAGCCTCGGATCAGCCAGATCAGGGAGACTGGCGTCTCCCGATCATCGACTATGTCTTATACGGCATATTGCCTGAAGACGCGAAGGAACGAGAGTCTATCCGACGACGTGCCTCACGGTTCTACTACGATTCAACCACTAAAACGTTGTATCGCAGGTCATACGACGGCTTGCTACTTCGCTGTCTTTCAAAAGCGGAGGCGCAAGAAGCCGTACGCGAAGCACATGACGGCGTGTGCGGAGCTCATCAGCCCGGACCCAAACTCTTTGGGATCCTACGGAGGATGGGCTACTTCTGGCCTGGGATGGTTACTGACGCAGTCGCTTATGCAAAGCGATGTTACGAATGCCAAATCCACGCCAACTACATACACCAGCCTCCTGAGGATCTGCGTCCGACGAAGGCGTCTTGGCCCTTCGAGGCATGGGGGATGGACATAGTGGGGCCAATTTCTCCACCATCGGCGAAAGGCCATCGCTTCATCCTCGCGATCACCGATTACTTCTCTAAATGGGCCGAAGCCATCCCCTTAAGAGAAGTCAAGACTAGCGATGTGATCAAATTCATCAAGCATCATGTCATATACCGATATGGCGTCCCCCGGCGTATCATTCATGACAATGGAATGCAATTCGTTAGCCATGCCTTCACTAGGTTCTGCGACAAGTTCCGAATACAGAACCTCTCTTCCACGGCCTACAACCCTTTGGCGAATGGCTTGGCCGAGGCCTTCAACAAAACGATCATCAAGATCTTGACTAAGCTGACTTCCACTAGCAAGCGCGACTGGAATGAAAAGCTAGGTGAGAGCCTGTGGGCGTATCGCACGACAGTTCGCACACCGACTGGCACCACGCCCTACTCGTTGGTATACGGCTGTGAAGCTGTATTGCCATTAGAGATTCAGATTCCATCCCTCCGCGTCACCTTAGCAATAGGAATGACGGCCGAGGAAAATCACCAACTTCGACTCGCAGAGCTCGAAGCATTGGATGACAAGCGACTGGAAGCCCAGCAGCACATTGAGTTTTATCAAGCTCGGATGGCCAAGAGCTTCGACAAGAAAGTCAAGCGCCGAGCCTTCAAAGAGGGAGAGCTCGTGCTCTCCGTCCGTCGACCAATGATCCTCACTTCCAAGAAGAAGGGGAAATTCCAGTCCAAATGGGAAGGACCGTTCGTAATAGAGACAGTCTACTCGAACGGCGCCTATCGCCTCGTCAAACCGAATGGCGATAAGATCATGATGCCCATCAACGGCAAGTACCTGAAGAAGTACTACCCATAGTGCTCCTTCACAAACTCCCACGAGTGCAAGAGTCTAAACTGGCCCTCAACTCCCTCCAACTGGTACATGAGGCTAAACTGTTCCTACTTTACCCGTTCGGGCGAAAGCCTCTGACGGAATCCAATTCGCCTATCTTCTCCAATGAGATGGCGGATCCACTAAAGTCGTTCATATCACGACAAACACATTCAATTCGCCTATCTTCTCCAATAAGATGGCAGATCCACTAAAGTCGTTCCAATCACGACATTCCCTATCACGTTAACATTAAACCTCTGACGCGATCTACTTACCAATCATCTTCTAAAGGATGGTGGGTCCTCAAAGTCATTCCAATCACGACATTCCCTGTCACGTTAACATTAAACCTCTGACACGATCTACTTACCAATCCTCTTCTAAAGGATGGTAGGTCCCCATAGTCGCTCCAATCGCGACAAGACCTCATCAAGTTAATGATCACCTCTGATGATTGGCGCCGTTATTCTTACGAATAGCACGGCCTAAGTAATGGTCAACCATGCGACGTGCTATTACTTCTGTCAATAGTCACACTCCTACGTCCCTGAACTATTTGACCTATTTCAGATGTCCTAACATTGCTTTAGGATAACTGATGGGTAGAGTCTACCAGGCGATGACTCCTACCACAATCAATTGTCACATTCCCACATGAGACAACCTGTCTGTCGGTTTCCCAGACAACAACTCGCCGAAAGGCGAGTCGAAGTCGAGTTCTTCAGTTGGCCACAAAGACAAACGTCTGTTCTTTGCTGCAAACCAAGTGTTGCTCTCTCAATCCCATTGGAGCAACAACGCGGAAATCGGGATTGACCCGATCCCACGTTGTGAGCAACCGAAAGCAGAGCAAGAGCCTAAAACGACTAAGTCCAAAGCCAGATAGTCGAGGGCTCGCCAAATCCAACTCAGATACCAGACAACACAGACAACAAAAAAAAAGGAAAACTGTGCAAGCAAAAGTAAGGAAAGACATAACGAGCAAAAGAGGGCCATAACGGGCCAAAGTTTACACAAGTTTGCAGTTTAGTTGTGGTGCCGGAGGCACCGACTAAATTAACAAAAAAAAGGACTTAAACAGTAGCGTTACAAGAATTTCAACAAGCTAAAGGAGCCGATCTTAGCCTTGAGCTTCGCACGCTCCACCGCACGTTGGATCCTCGCCTCCTCCCTCCCCCTCTGTTGCCGCTTGGCCGAATCCGCCTTGCTGGCCTCTTCCTCTTGGCGAAGGAGTTGGAGCTCTTGGTCCACCGTCGCGGCAACCCCGCTGAGCCTCTTCGCCTCGAGCTCACGCTCCCGCAACTTCGCCTCGCCGCGAAGGGAGCCAGCATCCTCAAAGAAGGCCCTGTCCAGATAGGCGTCCATCCGGTCCAGCACCGTTCGTTGCTGCTTCAGCAGGCGTTTAAGCTCGGCCTCCTTTGCCTGGATCTGCTTCGCTCGCTCTTCGCGCTCGAGCAGAAAGCGCAGAGAGGGGGGCGGGGGCATGTCGGAGGAGTCCTCGTAGGCCAGTTCCTCGAGGCGGTACATCCACCCCTCCACACGCTCGAGCTCCCGCTCACATCGCCATGTGAGCGAGGCATCACCAGCGCGGCGAACCGCCTCCAAGCCCGCTTTCACGTGAGGAAGCGCATCGTAGTATCGCTCGTCGCCCACGCTAACCGAGAGGGCAATCGGAAGAGGAAGCCATAAGGAAGAGAAGTTTTGTTCGCGGAGATCTCTTTCTAGCAGATTTCTCTCGAAGTAGTAGGGACTCTGCTGGAGAGGGGCGAGTACGGAAATATATTCCAAGAAATCCAACGGCTGGGATTCATCACCCCAAGCGATCGAGCGGTCCGAATGCCCTGCGACGCTTCAAACTCGACGCCATTAAAGGCTACTCTCAAGACCCCAAACCGACAGATCGGATTAGGCACGAGAGGCGAAGCGACCGGTCGCTTCACCATAAATAAGCATTAATGCGCCTGCAGAGTCTTGGCTGGCAAGCACTTGGGCCCGCCGACCGACACGTGGCGTGAGTTTCGCCCGCAGTTGGATCTCCGACTGTTGGACAAACTCGCTGACTGCTCAAGTTTCGCCTACAGTTCAAACTCGCCGGGCGAATCAAGTCGGGTTTCCAACACAAGCCCATTATCATACGGGTTTAGCCCGTAGCATAAACTCGCCAGCCATTGAGTTCCGTTGCCTAGCGAAATTCGCCAGCAAATGAGCTTTGCCATCTACTTGAAATCGCCAACGGTTGAGCTCAGCTTCCAAGCGAAACTCGCCGCGATCAAGTCTCGCCTGGAAACAAACTCGTCAATCAATTGAGTTTCACCAGCAGTTCGAATTCGTCAGGAGACGAGCTTCACCATTTTAACGAACTCACCGTCGCCCTGGTTTCACCAATTGCATAAGCTCATCGGAGCAGAGTTTGGCTTCGAAAGTAGACCCGTCGTCGCACAAAGGACTTCGCCCCCAATACGAGATCGTCTGCGATGACAGAGCAAAATACTGGAAAGCGACGTATCCAAAGGGTATACGCACAATGAGCGGGTGCAAACCTCATTGAGACTTTAAGACAGTACATTTGAACAAAGTTATGGTTTTTGCAATTGCGAAAGTCATAATGTTACGTTCAAAGAAACAAAACATGCACCCAGTGTTTTAAGATAATACATTTGAACAAAGTTATGACTTCATAAACAAACAAGTCATAAACAAAATGTCTTAACACAAATCATAAAACAAAGGTCTCAGTCAAATATGCTAAAAGTGGAGATCTGTTCTTTGACTGCCTCCACCCGGCTCGCGTGGTCTTCCCGAGCTTTGTCCTCAGCAGCCTTCCGAATCCGGTCTTCGCGGCTCGACCTGGCGGCAGCATCCGCCTGACGCAAAGCTTGTAGGCGTCGAGTTTCCGCCTCAGCATTTTTACTGACCTTTATAACGTCAGACTGGAGCCCCTTCCACTTCACCTCCGCCTGTCCTAATTCGGCCCTCAGGCGAGCCATGGTGCGGTTGAGGTCAATAATTTGCTCCTCTAGCAAATGTTGTTGACCGACCCAGAAGTTGGTAACAGACTCCAGATCCGCTATTTCCTTAGAGCGGGTCTCCTGCTCCAGGGCGTCCTGACGCCTGACATAAGCCAGGCAAGACTCCATGTTGGTTTCTGGACCTTCCCGTAGCAAGGTCTCTAACTCTACCATGTGTGGCTCCAAGAGACGGAGTTCACGCACGCAACGGGTGGCAAGCTGATTTTCACCCGATCGCCGTAAATTAGCCACGCGATCATAGAAGGACTGCCTGAAGCTGTCGAAACTGCCCATGCCGAGTTCGACGAGGGAAATCGCCTGTCTCACAACGCTCTCGAACTCTTCGATACGAGCCTGCCAGGACAAGGACTCGGAGGGAACAGGCCTTTGGCCCGGAGCGAGCGCCGTGATGGGCGGAACTTCGAGGCAAGGTTCGGCTCCCGGCTGGGGAGCAGGGTCTGGAGCGGCAGAGTTCTCAGAACCTTCGGATTCGTCATCCGAAATCAAGATGGGCTCAGCCTCATGCTTCTCTGCAGCCGGCGAGAGGAGTCAAGGGAGGAATACCTACTAAGCTCACGCGAAAGTCGAAGCAGGAAGATACCTTCAGCCGTAGCGGCCTCAGCAGCGCCTGAAGAAGACGGCTCCTTCCTTTTCTTGGAAACGACCCTCTTCACCTTCGGTGCCATCAGGAGAAGGAAGAAGGGGAAAATTCAGGTTTATGAGGGAAGATGATGAAGAGGCTGTAGATCCTCTTAATAGAGGGTAGGGGCGTTAAATACCCTACGAGTCCTAGACGGTTACTCAATATTCGATTAGACCGTTCGGGGCTAAAGCAGTTGGAGAGTAAAGACGAACAAGATCTGACGGTTCACGACCACGATCTGCAACAACGGCCCGAATCGGGCGCGAGGGACGAAGAGGCCCACTACCTCGCATTTAATGCAAAACGGCTAACCCACGTCTCCTTAACCGGCGTACACGTGGGTTAACACGTGGCCCACCGAAAGCGGAACCCGGTCAGAGCTAGGTTCGCCATTAGCTCCTGCAAATCCGCCTGCGAACAAAATTCGCCCGCAGATGAGGTAAACCTGCAGCAGAAACTCACCGGCAAGAATTCCTCTACAATTGAAGTTCTCTTACGGCTAAATTCTGACCAATGCATGATTATGAAAATGGAGCACATCCACAAATGACAATAGGCCAAAAAAAAAACAAAAGGGATAATTTCATTCACAAAAAAAAAAAAGAGAGTCCCATTACAAACGGAAAATTAAAGGCGAATCACAGGGATTTCAATCTCAGTTCCGCCTCACGAATTTCTTCAGCATGGCGAAGCTCAAGCCTCCTTAGGACCTCTCGACGAATATCTTCCTCTGTGCATGAGATCAAATCCTGAATAGCCTCCCTGACATCCTTGAGAGCTCGATCCTTCTCTGCAACAGAGCCAGTGGTCAATCGCCGGCGAGACTTAACGCTCTCCAACTCTTTTGCCACGTGATCACGAGCCTTCTCTTGAACGGCCAGGGCAGCCTGTGCTTCGGCTACAACCTGTTTCAGCCTCTCTACTTCGAAGGAGAGTCGGGAGAACTGGCTATCGACCGTTTCTTCCTCGCGGGCCACTTGTGCATCCTCGGCTCTGACCTGCTCCGACTCTGCTGACAGTTTTAACTCTAGCGTCATGTTCTCGTTCAGGCGGCGATCACGATCCGCCATAGCTACTCGAACTTCGCGGGAGGTGAGATCAACAAGAGCAGAGCTTTCCGCACGAAGAGCGAGCAGCTGCCGAACAGCCCTCTCTACTTCGTTCAGACGCTAAAAATAGGGCCTCGCCGCGGTAGCGCCGAGCCTCTTACGCAAGAAGGACGCATCGTGTTCAAGAACTTCCTTGAATTCTTCGAAGGGGCAATTCTCCTCCAAGACTAGCCGGGTGCAGTGGGCCAAAGTATCTTCGAAATTGGCCAGAGCTCGCTCCACCTGCGTCTTTCGCCAGCGTTCCAAGGGAGAGAGGGCGGCCTCCTCCGCCGAGGATGAAATCACGGTCGAGGTACCTACAGCCATAACCGTAGGGGTGGCAATGGGCACCACCGAAGCCGGTGTGACCAATGACGCCCTCGGTGCAGTAGTCACAACGTCAACGGCCATCGCTGATGAAGAAATGGTCACCTGTAGAGTAGGAGCCTCCCGTTGAAGCGGAGACTCTCGTGCCGATGAACGATCCCCTGCCGACGCTTCCGCGGGAGCAGGAGATCCCCCTATTTGGCCAGGCGCGTCCTCAGGAGCCAAATCCTCTTCCTCACTGGACAATGCCTCATGGACCGAGACATTGTCATACTCCTCAGATTCGCTCGTCTCCCCAGATGAGCGACTCGCCCAAGAGTGAGGATTCTCCTCACCTGCGGCTTCACGGGTAGGATCAGCTACAAATACACGAAGAGAGGTTAACAAAGACCCCTCGAAAGGGACCCTACTAACGGTCGGGTACGGAAGGAAAAGTAATGCTAAAACACAGGCTTACCTGAGCCGGTGGGCCCCTCCTCGTCTCCAGCCTCCCCTTCCTCGTCGGAAGGAATGGAGATCACCTTCTCAATCGCGCCTGCATAGGCCCAATACCAATGACAAAAGGTATGAGACCATCGTTGCGATCAAAGACGCTATTGCAAAAAAAAAAAAATTACCTCCTGATGCGGAAGCAGAAGCCGCTGGAGCTCCCGTCGGTGACCTCTCGCCAGATTGCGGAGGAGCGTCTCTCGTAGTCACCAGAACCGCCCCCGATGCAGCAGAAGAGGCAGGCAGCACGGCTCCAGACGTCGCCGCTCCGGGGATACCCACCTGGGGAACATCATCCTGACCTTCCGCCGCTCGGACGGTTTCCGCCATCTCATCACGACGGACCTTCTTAGCCGCCTCCGCTCGGGAACTCTCGGCCACTGCCTCCCGCTGACGCTTCGAGAGAAGCGAGCTACTCGGAGACAGAAGCGGCGCCCCCATTTGTCCAATGGTCGGGCTCTGGACCGGTCTTGGGCCCTCGGGAGCCTCAGATTCGTCCAAACCAGCATCAGAACCCTCGGTATCCTCAACTGGATCCTCCGAGAACAACTCCCTAGCAGTTTGGTGGCCCCTTCGCCTCGAAGAACGGAGAGGACCCCTGACAGGACGATCGCGTTCCACCAGACATGAGTTCTGGAACCAGAAATTGGCAGGATTAGCACTAGCGCCCCGATACCAGCGGCAGTATAAGAGCGTGTGGTGTAAATCGCGGTCCTTCGCGGGATTGGCGTTGCCCACATACAATTGATCGTACCCAAACTGGCGGGCGAACCTGCAGGGGATGTATGGCTCGAGATAGCATGTAGGGCCCGTTCTCAGAATGTGATACCCCGGTCGGATATTCACCAACCAGCAAAAAGCACCGCGAGTGAGGACCGTGTAGTGATCCGCCGTTGGAGCATCCCTGAGAGATTCTCCATACCCACCCCCGAGGAAATAAGAGAAGAAGCGGCGAAAATTATAATGCCCGAAGTGGGAGAGCGTCTTCCTGGCATCAGGGATGTCCTTGCATTTCCAAGAGCACCTCTCCAAGCGCTGGACGAAGGGGACAAACTTATCGCCCTGAAGCACCGCCGGGGCGCTCATCAAACATTCGCAGTGGTATACGAACCACGCCATCAAGTAGGTGTACGGTAGCCCCACCCTAGGATTGGGAGTTTTGATAACTACTCCTTCCCCCTCATCAAGGACCGACACACGGCAGAATTGGGCCGTCAGAGTGCGGAGCCCCCGGTGAATGCACGCTATCGTCGCCGATACCAGGGAATAAGACTTCCCGTGAGCTAGGCAAACCGCCGGATACACGACCTCCACAGGAAGAGCCTCAAAGGAGTGAGTGGGGATTACGCACCTCTTCAGCCATAACATGAGGTACCCCGCGAGCAGCGCCTTCCCCGAGATGAGAAACTTCGCCTGATGATGGAATGAGTGAAGGACAGTACCAGACTTAAACCCGCCCTCGTCGCGGTCAAGAGTCAGAGTGCTTCCTTCTTTAGCTGCCCTCGCCTCCACTTCAGACTGGTCGCACGCGCCTAACGGGAGAGCGGGAATCCCCTTGACATCGTTCCCCGGGAACAGGTAATCAGCCCAATTCTTGTGGCTGATCCCCGGGGTCTTCTTCTTCTTCCCCTTGTGATCCGAGGCCCCTAGGGTACTGAGGCATATGTGGTAGTGGCAGAGTAACTCCCACAGAGTTTCAACCGCCAAAGGGGAATGGCTCGACAGCTGATCAATCTCATCTTGATCGGGGACGTACTCCTCGTAAGGAAAGTCTCCCAGAGGCAGCCCCGACACGTCGTACATCTCGTGAGGGGTGATACCAAGCTCACCATTGGGGGTGAAAAACGTGCCGCTTTCCGCGCAATACAGTTCCAAGATACTATGGAACTGAGAAGCGTTGATCCGCAACAGTACAAGAGCGTGTGGTGTAAATCGCGGTCCTTCGCAGGCAACTCAAAACGAGCTTGAGTACCTCCAGCATGGGTCCAGAACCACCCCCGAGCGCCGTCAACCAGTCCTCCTTCGAAGTGTAGGCGAGGGTTGGCGTTGCCCACATACAATTGATCATACCCAAACTGGCGGGCAAACCTGCAAGGGATGTATGGCTCGAGATAGCATGTGGAGCCTGTTCTCAGAACGTGATACCCTGGTCGAATGTCCACCAACCAGCGAAAGGCACCACGGGAAAGGATTGTGTGGTGATCCGCCGTCGGCGCATCCCTGAGAGATTCTCCATATCCACCCCCGCTGAAGTAAGGAAAAGATCGACGAAAATTATAGTGCCCGAAGTGGGAGAGCGTCTTCCTCGTATCGGGGATGTCCTTGCACTTCCAAGAGCACCTCTCCAAACGCTGGACGAAGGGAACAAACTTGTCTCCCTGAAGCGCTGCCGGGGCACTCATCAAGCATTCGCAGTGATAGACGAACCATGCCACCAAGTAGGTATACGGTAGCCCCACCCTAGGATTGGGGGTTCTGATAACTTCTCCTTCCCCCTCGTCGAGGACCGACACACGGCAGAATTGGCTCGTCAGAGTACGGAGCCCCCGATGGATGCACGCTATCGTCGCCGATACCAGGGAATAAGACTTCCCGTGAGCCAGGCAAACCGCCGGATACACGACCTCTATAGGAAGAGCCTCGAAGGAGTGAGTGGGGATTACGCACCTCTTCAGCCATAACATGAGGTACCCCGCGAGCAGCGCCTTCCCCGAAATGAGAAACTTCGCCTGATGATGGAATGAGTGAAGGACCGTACCAGCCTTAAATCCGCCCTCGTCGCGGTCAAGAGTGATGGTGCTTCCTTCTCTAGCTGTCCTCGCCTCCACTTCGGGCTGGTCGCACGCGCCTAACGGGAGAGCGGGCTTCCCCTTGACATCGTTCCCAGGGAACAGATAATCAGCCCAATTCTTGTGGCTAATCCCTGGGGTCTTCTTCCTCTTCCCCTTATGATCCGAGGCCCCTAAGGTACTGAGGCATATGTGGAAGTGACAGAGTAACTCCCACAGAGTTTCAACCGCCAGAGGGGAATTGTCCGACAGCTGATCGATCTCATCTTGATCAGGGACGTATTCCTCATAAGGGAAGTCTCCCAGAGGTAGCCCTGACACGTCGTGCATCTCGAAGGGGGTGATACCAAGCTCACCATTGGGAGTGAAAAACGTGCCGCTTTCCGCACAATACAATTCCAGAATGCTATGGAATTGAGAAGCGTTGATCCGCAGGCCATGTCGAGTGGCTTCGAGGGCCACATATAGCTCTGTGCCCTTGAGGTCAGCATTCTCGGCCAAAACATAGTCGGTGATCTTGGACCACCACGTGTCGCTGCCTGGCGCAGAGTAAACCCACCCCGGGGCCCTGAAGTCCTTCGGGGGAAAGCTTCCACCGACTCGGAAGAAGCGGTGACGGAAGGTCTCCGCCACCGCTGTCGATTCCCCCACGGGCGGTTCAGCAGACACTAAGCCAGGGCGCAGACCCGTCACGCGCTTACATGAGCTCTCCACTCCATACCCAGCCGTAGAACCCGTAAAGACGCCACAAGTGACCCCGTCCTGAGTGGGGGTCAAATCCCAGTTCATCGTCCGAGGAATCGCGAGGGACCGCAGCTCAACAATCGAAAACCCTCTCGGCATGCTGGGGAGGTAATAATGGGTCCCCTCTACCGTGCGGAACCACCGGCTCTCTTTGAGCAACAGGGCAGAAGGGTCGGTCATGGAGTCGCCGAACAGAAATTGAGGTTTCGGCAGCTCTGCCCTGGCCTCATCTGTCAGCGCCGCATTGGTCGTCAGCTCGCGCAGGGTCAAGTGATGACCATCCGTGACCCTCTGTACCAGACCATGCAGCTTATCAGCAGTGAACAAGGGTACTGGAGCCAACGAGGGAAAACGAGAAGGGGCCGTGTAGCTCTTAGCCCCGACGTGGCCAACGGCCACACCCTCCGGGAAAGCCTCATCAGGGAAGGTCGCTGCAACAAGAAATAGAAAGTCAATTGAGACAAAATCCGCTGTAGAGGTGAAATCGCCCATCGAACATAGGAAGGCGAAATCGCCTATCGAAAGGGGGAACCCACTTCGAACGAGGTCTGTCCCTACGGACTACACTCCCCTCTAATGGGAAGGGCCGAACTCGCCTTACGAAAAGGGGGTTCGTCTCCTCCCCACTGGAGG